TTTCTACCACCTCACTGTGTGATCATATTTTCTCTTTGGTTGGATTCATCATCTGACAGTATGCTGAATTTGTTTTGCGTTGGTACATTTGGCACAGTTATCTGCTCATCTTTTTTATCAACAAATTAAAAAGTAACAATGAAGAGAATTTCACCATGTTATAAGAGTCGTGTTATTATTTGATGATGCCATGTGTCAAAGGTTTTAGATTCATATTGATTTCGCCGATGTATTAGCGCGCCTTCGCTATATATCTCGCAAGATCAGTGTCATTCTGTTCATGACGCCATTATGAATCGGTGGAATTTAGTCAATAAGACATTCTTAATTATCAAGTAATATATATTCTGTACATCGAGTATTGAAATTTTCGTCATAAACTTTTAGTAGATATATTGCAGATAACTTTGATAATTATGCAGGCATGTGTCTGTCTCCCAAGTTACTGGGGTGGCAAATAACAAATCACGCCACCTAGTGTTGATTTACGAGTTATTTATGTGTGTCACACTTGATATAGCAATGTCAAATCCTTTTTATTGATGCATTGTGCCGCATCTTGTGCAGGCTACATAGCATGCATGTGTATTCATCAAATTGAATTAAAACGCATCAAATTCAGTAACAGAAAGGAGGTGATTATCCATCTCGGTTTATTTCGTGGACATCAACAGTTTAATTTTAAATAGCGTCATCACTATTTTTGGAAACTTATTCCGATAGTCTTCACCTGGTGTTTTTCATCAGTCCGAAATTTTGTTAAGACTGAACACTTATTTAAGATCTGTCGCGAATATTCATATTATGTTTATACGCTTTGGAAAAGTATTATGACTGTCACAAGGTGGAGAGTCAAGTGTGGCTACCAAACAAGACTGCCCTGGTGTTGTGGGTTCTTTTCCCCACTGCTACTTTTTAACATTAATTGTGACTTATATATTTATATACAACCAACAAGCAATAACAGGTGACCTTGGTGTAGTCAGTGTGAACATACAACAGACGCAATCACATACTTGCAATTAACAGTTTTATTAAGTATAACTGTAACAGATTAAAGGTCAATATTCATTAAGTCACACCGCACAATGCTCAAATCCCAGCAGGAATACTAGAACGCTATGCATGTTAACCAATTCACAACGAGTTAGAGCCCGCACAGTGACATGGAGCTTACATCCAATTGTAAACAATGTACGAGTTAATCGTTTAAACTGACGCCGTTCCAATCATTAAATATTGCCAAATTTCCAGCGTCTGACCAGCCTAATTGGGCAAAATACGTCAAAAGAATGACGGCAAAGCAGTACAAAATTACAGCAGTTATATAATAATTTGATGAATTAAATAAATAAAGTGTACCCCAAAATATACATAATAATAAGCTCAAAATATGCATGAAATATGTAACCCTAACATAGTGTTACTGACCAGTATCATACGACGAATGTCAATGTCTTGTGAGCAGAACTTGCAGTTGAACGTGAATAATTAATTAAACGTGGTCGACGAAGTGGCTGTTTCAACCACGTGTTGACGTTATCTACGCGGAGAAGACCCGCTGACTTCCTTGGGGATATAGACAGTAAGTTCCGTCGATGTGTTGTCTCAATTTTCGCCGCTTTGCAGCCAGCAATGGTTAAAGTCAGTTCGCCGTAATGTCAGTTCTAGGAGAGGTCCGTTGGGACTTGCAACTTCTCTGCATTAGTTGTGTACGAGCTTCAGACAATGATGTCCAACGTGGTTAGCCCCGAGCATGTGATGAAGGCGTAGTTTTATAGGTATCAATGTCGGTATTCAAAATTCCCGAAAAGACGATCTGTTCTCTGGACCATACCATTCCAACAAGGGGTGTATGACCCATCATTTAAATAGACACTTAAATTACACCAGTATAAAATGTATCTAGGCATCTGTACAGCATTTCTAGTCACCTCGTGACAATGACTTATAAAATTATAAAGTAATTTCAGGTAATTTGAATATATATGTGCGTTGCACAACACTTATAAAGATCTTTAATAACTTTTTAGCAGTTTTTTTAATGGAAGTGCCCATATTGAGACAATAACAATTCTACTCTTATGTATTTGTCTCCGAAAATGAATAAATGTTGTGAAATCAAACAAGCACCTGGTTATTGTCAGTTAAAAATGTCTAATTAGCTGACCTATGTTGAAATCTATCAATTTCCCAGAAACATAATAGTAAATGGTCATATATATTAGCCCCATTAAATATTCTGTTGTCTGGATACAATGCCGTGTAAAATTGTATTATCTTATTACCTATTTTCAAAGTTTAAAATTGGACTATACATGTGAGAAAACGAACAAATCAATATCAAATCTGGATTCTGTTCTCATAGACCAAGGATTTTTGTATTTCTTTGTTCACAATTGATATTGTTATAGTTTAACGTGTGTTAAATGTGAACAATTTGTTAGTAGAATAAAGTGCACCATTGAATGTTAAAACTTTGGGTAAAACCATATTAATGAACACAGATTTGTTTGATCGGAAGATTCTGATCAATTCTCCTTTACAGTTCAATAATTCTAAATCGTGTGTACATTGAATACTTTTAGTGAATTTGTTATATATCATTAGAAATATATTTATTTTGTACCAAGAATAACGCCGGCTAAAAATGTAAGTGAACTCTGCTAATTACATGTAAAATATGTAATTACATGATTACGGTAATGTTAGAAATGTTAGTGTCTATTCAGAGCGTAGTTCAACATTTGTTGATATTTTTTTAATAAAGTCACATAAGGAAAAATTTGTTTCAACAAACCGCCTTTTTGCTATTTGAATACTAGTAGTTTATTTAAGCCAACTGTTTCTCATAATGGATACCAGATTAGATCCAATGTTTTTTTTTACTATATTGGGTTGAAGAGTTCATAGCGATGACGTAAAACAGTCACAATTACCAATGAATATATTGTTCTCTAGAAACTAAAAACAATGGTGGTGCTAAAATACTAATAGAACACGTGCCAGTTGATTTAACAATATACTGTAATGATGTTAGTATTCAAGACACTACTCTCAATATGCACATCTGGTTGTGGAATATTTCACGAATAAAGTCTTAATGTCTGCACACGGATGCCACACTGTATATTCACATTATTATTATGGACAATATGAGTTCATATCAATATTATGTATTTATTATGAATATTTTAAAAATAAACATATGGTAAATATTTCTTTATCGACCGCAACTTTCTTTTGATGTATCCGATGATATTAAACTTATAAATATGTTTTCACAGTCCAATTTCTCAACTGACGACCTGCTGGCAACTTCATCGTTTATTTATCGTTCTTATATTCAAGATGATTTTCACTTATTTACTGTTTCTGTTGGTTCCAATGCTGTGGCTAGAAACAACAGTAAGTATCAACTATACAATGTCATATTACATATAAAAAATTGACTGAAGTAATGATATGTATGAACCGTTGTTGGACGTTCGCCAAAATAAACACATTGAATTGTGAATACATGTATGCGTTAACCAATATTGTTATATAGTCAGAACACAATATCATTTTTAATTGCAGGTTGCTGATTGTAAGTAAAATACATTTTTATTTGCTAATCTAAATACTCATATATTGTAATAAAATTTACTTGCATATGCAAATTGCTAGATAAAACATGCTATGAATCTGTAATATTCAATATTCTTTCTAAATTTTGACCACCCAATTGCAACTAACTGCATCAACGTCTTCTTGTACGTGTTGTCAAGCTGCTTAACGTCATGTTGTTCTCTTAATGGAATACTTTACCTGGAATAGTGTGTACCTGGATATTAAAATTATGGATTATTAAAAAGAAAATTCAATTACCCTATATATCGCATACATATTTCCCCCTCTATGTCACAGAAACCGCATTCTAAAATTATCATTGGCATAGCATTTAGCTCGATACTAATTTTGTTCACTTTATGTTAAATCCCCTGGCACGAATAAACGGTTTTGCCTGTTAACCTCATTTTACTTTCCTTTTTCTCTTTTTTCCTTTATAGTTATACATTTCAAACCCAAATTGAATAACAACTAATGTACATGCTCTAGTAGACTGGCACAGTCTGGGCGATTTATTTCTTTTTTTAATTTAAAATTAAATAAAAACAAATGGTGAAATGGAGGTGTTAACGCGAAATCCCCTGCAACCGCGAAATCACACAGACTGGACGTTTTTGCCGCGACCTCTGTGGTGAAAGCAGGAACTAGTGTGTTTTCATACTAGTTTTTATGTTGATGCAGAATGACAGGCAAGAACGTTATCCAATCAGAGTAATTTACCTTTAAACTATATCTACTTACCTTTGTACCTGAAGACTTAACTTTTCTTCATGTTTCTCGATCGTCAATAATAACAAACGAATTACTATTTATAACGTTCAGTACAGATTATTCTAATCTAGAGAAGTAGCCTGCGTGTAGTTTTATATCGCCTGGGTTACAGTGAAGTGCGATCTGCACAGAAGACCAACAATGTTACTTCATTATGCAGCGAGCACGCCCCCACTCCTTTTCTGTATCCGTCCAGTGATGTCACTACATATCACGAATAAATAATAGCAACAGATTCGCTGCAAATAAGACCAGTCTGTCTGTGGCGGATTCGCGTTCACCCTACCTTTCGCAAAACTATTTTTTTCCAATTTTTTTTAACTGAAAAAAAATCACCACAGCTAAGCCAGTCTAATGCTCTTGTAAATAATAAACTTACGTATACATTATTTAACTGCTTATTTTACTAGAAAGTTGTATTTGCGTTATATTCTATTACAATTGCATTTGTTTTGGAGTAAGCCATGCATTGTTTGGCAATTCCAAACACATATATACAGTATGTCTACTTATAAATACCAAATTATAATTTGATCGACTGATGTCACATGAAAGTATATATATATCATCTTAAAATCAATGTATAAATGTTAATCTAATCAAACAAAAGTAGTCGACATTTAATGAAAGACACCCAACGACCGACACAACTTGGATCCCGCCATTAACATAAAGCGATATTATTCCAGATGTTTTTTATTCGGTATTTTTTCCAATATTTTTCCAAAATCCAATCCCTATATTTACCTAAAAATAAAATACTACCGGTTTAATGTATATGTAAATTAAACCTGTAGTCAATGTTCCAGGGCCACTTGTTTACTGTATAGTGTGAATCATCAGCAAATATATCCTCGATGATTACATATGCAAATTTTGTGCTTGGGGCAATCAAATCGATGGATTAAATTCACCAGTACAGTGGTATAATATAATACATTATAGTATATAGCTATGTAACCAATGGAGCTGAGCGCAACAATAATTCTCGCTATGTTACAAATTAACGAAAACAAATAATCCCTGGTACATATGTACAGAATCGAACAATGTACGAAAGCTAAATTTCGGCATTTTGTTAATATTCTATTATTAAACATTGTTTGAAGACGCTGAAAAGTAAATGTCTATTTAAAATGGCATAATCGAGCGCTCACATGGGGCACTAATGAGCAAATTCTGAGCGTTCGATACTAAGTCATCAAAGTCATCAAAACACATATTGAACGACTTCCCGATTTGACTGGAGTTAATGCGTACAGAAAAGGGTTACAAAAGGCAGCCTGGATGTTTTGAGAAAATGGTGCAACCTATCTCAAATTGTGTAATATTTTGAGAACAAAATTGATACGATTTTATGCAGACAGTATTTGCGAGACTCGATTGGCGAAGGTGTTGATTGAGATTTAGTTTACATCCGATAACTTATAAAAATAAGGGTGTTTGAGTGACATATTTGCTCATAAATCAACGGGCCACGTCCAATTACGGAGCAAATAAATCGAATAGCAAATGTACGGAAGTCTATTTACTGTAGGCAAAACGTAGAAGTCAACGTTCGCTCAGCGCGTTGCAATATCGGGCTGTTATGTGTATATATAACAATAAGGATATCCGCCACGCGTCGGTCGATACGATCAGATCACTGTACCATCTTTGTGCATACTTCGCGGTATTCTCGTAATAACCTCAAAATATTTATCCGGTAACATCCGTCTAATACAATTGTCGCAAACGAGACAAAGACAGAGCGAACGAAAATAGTAGTGCCAATACGTTTTTTGAAAGTTATTAAGAGATTAAATAGGCAATTGTATGTGATACCTGCTGGTCACGAACCGTATATGACTGACTGACTGAATGAATGAATGAATATGTGTGTGTGGAGGGTGACACTCTAAATTGAACCACGATAGAAGCGCATGTAAATGATGTTCAGAGATGTAGATTTCACCTTCTGATCTGATTAGCTGATTTTCCGAAAGATTAGCAAGGTATTAACAGGTTAGAAATGAGGGCGTACGCCTTCAATCACAGTTGTGGAACCGACAAGTATGCGTGCGTGTAGATGAAAAAATCGTCATGTATGGATAGACGTACGTGTTTGGTCAAACACGCTGATGTTGTTGTTTTTTATAAGTCTAGTTACTCTGTATGGTTATCAACTATGGTCTACGTATTATAACAGCCGTGTCGTAGTTGTATATTTAGCACTGTTGTAACGAACATTTGCTACAGAGTGCATCATGGTCACTAAAAATATCAGTGTACGCATAATAGCATCTGAACTTTAAGCTTAAATAAATTTTAAAATGACTAACAACAAGTAAAATATAAGGGAAAAAATTCGCCCAGTCTTGACGAGTCGTATTAGTGTTGTTCTGCGACAACGGAAGCGCAGTCTCCAGTCGAGGTGGAGTCAAATTTGTTCACATTCCATGTGTATAAACGTTTTGAGTCGGGATGTAACAAGATGTGGCAAGTCTTTTAATTCCTCGGCTCCTGAAAATGAGGTTATTTGTAGTTATGTTGGCGATCGCCACTATGTCTGCGGAAGTACTATGGGAGATTGCATGATGGGAATGAAAAGTCTTTTGATCAGTAAAATAATTTTAGAAAAGTGAAAACTAAAGTGACTGTGAAATAAAGGTTGGTTTTAAATATTAAATATCATGAAATCTGGATGTAACAATGAAAGGAAATTGAACTTGGTATGAAAGGGCAGTAAATGTTGCCAGAATGCAAGGTCAGAATCCAGGGGTCAAAATACGTCACAACACATCCATCAAAGTCTCAACAACTATGGATGCGGTAAAAGATTTGATTTGCAGTTTGCGTGAATGGCCGGGGAGAAAAATTCATGCAAATTCTGTGCTTCAGTAACATTTGCTACTTTTTTGTGCAATGGAAATTAATACTGTAACAAGAAATGCTGCCAAAAGACATGTCCTTCTAGTAAACAAAACAACCTTCAGGCGTTTATCTTGAGAAATTGAGAAGACGAAGATCCCTTGGGACAGTCATTGTGAAACAATAGACATGCTTCGCCAGGGTATCAAGATTATTTTGATTATTTGAAGATGGAAACTGCTGCTTTATGGAAGAGCGAAGTTCAATGCCATTGGTACAGTAATGAAGTTTTAGAGGGGTCACTCGCTAGAAGTATTCGCCGTGACTCCGGACTTTTCATTCAGATTTATACAACACTTACTTGTTACTGTCAAGAAGGTGTAATATCTTGTTTGTATTTGCACAATGTGAATGAGAGGTTTATTGTAAAAATATATAAGGTGCCTGTATGCCTATTGAAACTATGCAAAATTCGACCAATGTACATCCGTTTCATGTGTTAAAAGAACATTCTGAATTATTAAATCTTGGTCTCATTCCCAACTATCACCAAACTGTAGGTTTTGACGACTCGTGTGGACTTCTGGAAACTGCACAGCAAATCAAATATTTTCATTATTCATAGTTTTTCTAAATTTCAGTTTTTATTGTTCATAATTATTTACAGTAATAACATATTTTTCCGATTGTGTGCATGACAGCTTTGTCCACACACAATAAGACATGATGATATGTACAGATATGTGTGAGTATGTTTCATGGGTTAATACTTTGCTTCAATTCCAACTATATCTCTGGAAATATCACTTGCTGTTTATCATTCATATTTCGATATCGCACAATGTGTCGATTGCGTACCTGGAAATTCTAACTACTATTTCGTAAAATTTGAGCAGCCTTGCTTCTACCAGTCATTTAAGTCAACTCTCATACTGTCCTTCACAGTGAAGGTTAATTCAGATATATTGTAAATTACACAGAGGTAACACTACAATACATTTCCCTTTACATCCCTTGTATTACATAACAATCTTTGAGCTGAGGCAGTTATGGTTCTACAACCATCACCAGTTCTCTTGTATTGTTTGTGTTTGTTTTACCACACGTATGTGAGCGAAGTAATTCGAATCATCCTGTTTTACAACATGATTTTGCAATTAAATGGTCACGGTGATTACATGTGCATCGTTATTTAAATTTGTTACGTTTTGATATTACGATATTATTCTGTTCATGTGATAAGACAAGACGTTTATAATTCTAACATGAAACTAACTCCAAGATACTAGTAAGCGCATTTCTCTTAGATGTACTAGCTCCGTAGTGAGAACTGAAAATCGTAAGCGTTGATTTTTATAGCTCGTTAGTTGTTTTGTTCTTGTATATTGTTTGTGAGTTTTGTGTTTTCGAACTTCCATTTTATTACTACTAATTTAGATATCGCTTGGGTGTTTTTATTTCCATTTTCAACCTATTTTATTCTTATGTACCATAATAGTAATTTTTAATATTAATTTAATGTTACTTTTATTGTTGGGTAGTATACTTGTCACTTATTTTGTTTATGTGGTTTGTTTTATACGTATGTTCTTGGATTTTATCATTTTCCCGTACGACACTTGTTAATTTATCTATGGTTGGTTTGTTATTTCCATTTTTCTGACTAATATAGATCATGATGTCTGCTATGATTATTGTGGTGGCACCTGTCGTGCTCACAGATGCAATGTTGGTGAGGTAGCTGCAGAAGATCATTATTATAATAATTACGATGCGAGCTGTTCTCACTACTGTGGTGAGGGTCGTGTGTGCTGCGTGGAAGGTGCGGTTTCGTTCTATAAATTAACATATATGAATAAGTTTTTATGTGTTTTCAATTTTATCAATTACAGTGAATGAATACATTATACAGTGGTTGGTATAAATATTGTTCTCACATATTGCACAATACCAGACAAACAAAAATACTATGTTCACAAAATCTCCTTTTTTTGTAAATGTATTAGATTATGATATATGTAAATATTACTGCGATGGTACATGTCGAGCTGGGCATTGCAATGACGGTGAGATGTCGACCGGAGATAACGACTATTCCTTTTATTATTATCATTATTATTTTTATTATGATATTCACTGCCATAACTACTGTAGAAAAACGGGTCGAGTGTGTTGCATAGAAGGTACGTAAAAGCAAATAAAATATTTGAATTGCACACAATGCATGCATGTCAGATTAAGGCGTACAACACGACATGTTATATGTACAATTTCCTTATGTCGGTCATATATTTATATTCAATTCTACTTTTTTTCTGGCTGTATTAGATTATGATATGTGTGCTCATTATTGTGGGGGTACTTGCCGTGCTCATAAATGCAATAGAGATGAGAGAGAAGACGATTACTGTGCGGACTATTGCGGACTAAAAGATCGCGTGTGCTGTGTGCCAGGTCAGTTTTTAGTTCATAGTTATGATATTTGTATTGTAAGCAAATTTGAATATGCCTCCCTTTTCGCAAAATTTTCAAAACAACATAATTCAATATTAGATGGCTATATTTACGTATATTATGTACATACACTGTTAATAGTGAGTAAGTATTTTAGATACATATATCTCTGACTGAGTTGAAACTGAACTTTTCCGTACCTTCAATTATCTATAATTTGAAGTGAACAAATTACACATATATGTGTTCTGTGTAAAAAAAAAAAAAAAAAAAAAAAAAAAAAACAGAAGAAGATACAACTTGCATTTATGTCGTATTTTCTCTTTTATTATACTGTTCGTAAGTGATTCTCGCGCATGTGAAATTATCAGGCGTCGGTTTACCTTCATGTGTTTTTTTAATCGTGCTCGAAAATATCATACTACTTTACATTCATAATAACAATTATACAGACTCGTTAAAGATGTACATAATTACTAAGTTCAATTAATAATATCACTTTGAAAATATATCACTGTCAATATTAGGTACATTAAATTCTATTCATATTGTGAACATTGTAATTTCAGATTAAACATGATAAGTTTCCCAGACTGAACAAATGAACCGATCGTAAGTAAATGCATAATATAAAAGGCCTGATCAATACTAATGTTTACAAGTTTAAGAATTTGCATCTTGAATTTGGTAGAAAATAGATTGCATGTTACACTTTTATAGTTTATATTTTTTCATGGAATTACAACGGTATCAGCTTGAGTGTCAATCTGTGCTGTTTAAAAATCTGTATCAGTTGAACTAGTCACATTAATGATGTTCTAATTATGATATGAATATATATTCTTGTAACTGCGTGTTTTTGCTTATAAACACCTACATTCAGATATTGATGTGCATGCGTCACTTGTACTAGTAATTTGACTCTTACTAATAATATCTACTTATGTCGTATGCAAGTGAGGGGAATAGTATATACAATATGGAAACAATGCAATGTACAATAATTCAGTTATTTCTTCATCTACAGAAATCGACTCAACGCTATAGACAGTAGCAGTATATAAAAGTATCGTATACAGCCCAATTTAATGTACGTCTTATCTAGTGTATAAATTAAAGCAATCAAAGCAGATACAATGTAATATTTGTTTTGTGTGTGGCATATGTATACGGGGAATGACTCGGTGTTGGTATGTGTATAAGAATGTGTTATGGTAGTGATGTGTTATGATATTGGACGAAATATTTTCAGGAAAAATGTGTTTATTATGGAGAATATCGCATATTGGTCTGGTATACAAATAATGTCATTGACAACTGACCTTTTACGTTCTTAATATGTTTATAACCGACTGTATGCCGTGGTGTGTGTAGTATAGATGTATAGAAACACCACGGCACAGAGGGGTGTTGTTAGAGCCGTTGAAAAACGTACCCTCACTTCGTTTTTACAAGTCAACTATCACTGTTCTCGAATTTTCCGAGAATGAAACTATTACTAAGTTTTACTGTACCAAGTATAAACCGCAATGTCTAGATTCGAACTCACAGTAAAGATCTGTGATAGACACATTTTCAACAGGTACATTTTAAGTAAACAAATACTACACATTCCAAGGTCAGCGCTTTCGTACACTGTATTTTAGGCGTTGGGTTTTAAGTCATATAAAGCCCTCGTTATCGGCCGTAATCTACGTTAGCAGTAAACAAAGTAAACACGAGACCAGCAAATTCAGCAATCTAGTTTTCATACGCAGCGCAATGATTGAGGTTAATTTACATAAATACAAAATACAGGTTGCACAAGTGTGTGT